GATACAAAAGAACACAAGACCCAACTTGAGGGTATCACACTGGCCATATTTAGAAGAATTTAAGCATCAAAAAGAATAACGATGATAATGGATTATAATGCACTGAATAAAAAAAAATCCATGAGTTTATACTGATACCATTTTTTTAACGAGGAAAGAGTAAAAGGAAGAGAAGGGAAAACTGTTCTGTTATAGAAGAGTATCAACTAATAAATAGAAGAAATAACAGAAATGATAACCACCAGAGTAATAACAGATTCAGGCAAGAATCAGTGAATGCCAAATCTACTGGATGAAAGATTATTAAGAAATAGGATATTCACACAGTTCAAAGCGTAACATCACAGATGACTTATTAATTACCAAGGGGAAAAAAAAAACATCTTTACAATATAAAAACTTGGCAGATATCTTATATTTGAGCATCACCAATAATGAGATAATTAGGTTTGTGTGCCCCTGATCTGATGTACTGGAAAAAACAAAATTTCACCTATGTAGAATCTCTGTGAAAAGTATGTAACCTGAATCTACTAATGAGGAAATAATCACAAGAATCCAAATTGAGAAATATTCTACAGAAAAACTGGACTGGACTATTTTAAAAAGTCAATGTCATACAAGACAAAAAAGGAAGGACAGGAGGGAGGAAGAAAGGGAGGAAGGGAGAAAGAAAGAAAGGAAAAGAAAAGAAAGAAGGAAGGAAGAAAGGGAGAGAGAAAGAGAGAAAGAGAGAGAGAGAGGGAGGAGGAAGGAAGGAAAAAGGTTATAGAACTATTCAATGGCCGGGCACCCTGGCTCAAGCCTGTAATCCCAGCACTTTGGCGCACACCTGTAGTCCCAGCTACCCGGGAGGCTGAGGCAGAAGAATTGCTTGAACCCAGGAGGTGGAGGTTACAGTGAGCTGAGATCATACCACTGTACTCCAGCCTGGGCAACAGAGTAAGACTCCATCTCAAAAACAAACAAATAAAACCCACACAAACAAACAAACAAAAGAAACATTGCTGAGAGCATCTGGAATTAAATGATTAGCTCTGGTGAAGTCTGGCAGCTGGTACTATGCTTTTTCAAACTTGCTGATTTTTGCTGCCATGAAAAATCAGCATCATTATAACCAGATTCAAAGAGGTATTGTTTCTATTCATCATTGTACTGGAAAAGAAGTAGAAAATAAAAAAGTTACTGATACTCAAAAGCAGTGTATTCTACATAACGTAAAAGTTCTGTACCATTACTTACAAGGTATTAGCATCAAAGAAAATGAATGTCATCTAAAAGCAGCTGAAAGAATATCCAACTCTGTTTAACTACTTGCTAACATTTCTTTTTCCTTAAAAAGGAATTCTAGTAAATGTATTTCTTACTTTCCATACCTTGACAGGAAATAAAATGTTTGAATTTTTAAAAAGTTATCACATGTGACCAAGATTTAATTTTTAATAAAAATTAGAAATAAGTCAGCTTTGGGGTATCTTATTGATTTAAAGGGAAAGCTACAATATGCAGGCTAAACAGAAAAAGATTACTTCAGGCCGGGTGCGGTGGCTCAAGCTTGTAATCCCAGCACTTTGGGAGGCTGAGGCGGGTGGATCACAAGGTCGAGAGATCGAGACCATCCTGGTCAACATGGTGAAACCCCGTCTCTACTAAAAATACAAAAAATTAGCTGGGCATGGTGGCGCGTGCCTGTAATCCCAGCTACTCGGGAGGCTGAGGCAGGAGAATTGCCTGAACCCAGGAGGCGGAGGTTGCGGTGAGCCGAGATCATGCCATTGCACTCCAGCCTGGGTAACAAGAGCGAAACTCCGTCTCAAAAAAAAAAAAAAAAAAAAAAAAAAGATTACTTCAACTGAGCACCACTCAAGATAATATGATAGGCTGGGCATGGTGGCTTATGCCTATAATCTTAGCACTTTGGGAGGTCAAGGTTGGCGGATCACCTGAGGTCAAAAGTTCGAGACCAGACTATCCAAAATGGTGAAACCCCGTCTCTACTAAAAATACAAAAATTAGTCGGGCATGGTGGCACATGTCTGTAGTCTCAGCTACTAGGGAGGCTGAGGCAGGAGAAGTGCCTGAACTCAGAAGGCGGAGGTTGTAGTGAGCTGAGATCGTGCCACTGCACTTCAGCCTGGGCGACAGAGCAGATTTTGTCTCCCCAAAAAAAAAGATAATATGATGAAGAAAAATGATGAAAGAAAGCTAATTGCTACAAAGTAAAAATGCCTATTATGATCTTTTATTTTCCATCATTTCTTAGTGTCTTATACAAGTAACCATTGGGGTTATTTCAAATGGACTACATAGTTGTAGTTACTTATGAACAAAAATCTAGTTTCTTAATCATGCTAAATGACACATATAATTATTCTTTAATCTTTAATATGGAAATCTGGTACGCAGAATTTCACCATTATGAAATTTACATCTCAAGGAAGTAATCAATAAATATGCCCAGCGGATAATCTCTAAAAATTCTATACCATTTTAGAGGGTTTCCTTCTTTGCTTTTACCATGATATTCTTCCTAAATTATCAATAACACATATATTAAGTATAGTTTTTCATTATCCTGAAGAATCAGTATCATATAAATAATAATTGTGACATCAGGTTAAGCAAAAAGAAGTCGTGAATGGACTGACTTTTTTGTTCATTTTGTTAATTATTGTAATACTAAGTCCTACCCTTATTGTATTTGTAGCCAGAACTGGGAAAGATATTAACAGCATTTCACTTAACTTCATACTCCTTAAGTCAGTGTATTCAAGTATTACTTGGTGACTAGCATTCTGTTACCACTTTTTGAATCCTATTGCTCCTTCAAGTACTACTGGATAGCATACTCTAGTATACTGGACATTACTGAAAAAGAAGGATTCCATAGACAGAAATATTTAAAATAGGCTTCTTTTTGGTAATAAGAGCTTGTATAGGAATGCAAACTTCTAGTGAGTGGAATTCTTCCTCCTACATTCTAGCTTGAGAAGGAATTTTGTTAGTTGAGAGAAAATCCTTTGTAAAAGTTTTTGTTGCTTCTTTCCCTCCTAAAATTTGAACACTGCTGCCTCATGCTGTAATGAAAGAGTTATCAGACAAATCAATGAGCGATTACCCTATACTGTTTTTTTTTTTTTTTTTTTTTTTTTTTTTTTGAGACAGGTTCTGCTCTGTTGCCCAGGCTGGAGTGTAGTGGCAGCATGATCTTGGCTCACTGCAGCCTTGACTTCCTGGGCTCAAGTGATCTTCAGCCTCAGCCTCCCAAGTACCTGGGGCTACAGGTGTCTGGCTAATTTATTTTCTAGAGACGGGCTCTTGCTACATTGCCCAGGCTGGTCTCAAACTCCTGGGCTCAAGTGATCTTCCTGCCTCAGTCTCCCAAAGGGCTGGGATTATAGGTGTGTGCCACAATGTCCAGCCTGTCCCTGTATCTTTATGTGTTTATTGCAAGCAGGAGACTAGCATAAACCTCCCAGCTTGACCAATATAACAAAACCCCATATCTACTAAAAATGCAAAATTAGCTGGGCATGGTGGCACATGCCTGTAATCCCAGCTACTCAGGAAACTGAGGCAGGAGAATTGCCTGAACCCGGGAGGTGGAGGTTGCCGTGAGCCAAGATCGTGCCATTGCACTCCAGCCTGGGCAACAAGAGTGAAATTTCGTCTCAAAAAAAAAAAAAAAAAAAAAAAGTAGGATAAACCTCAATTAAAATACTATGTATTTTCTTATTATTTTCCTCTTTTGCAAAAATGTGTTAAACTTCTGGATAATTAAGTAATATAATTAGTTGGGTTCTGATCAATACAAATGGAATTCATGTATGTATCTTTTATATGCTCATAATATTCTTGTAGTCTTTACTTTTAATTCTTAAAAATGTGATAAGTGTAATAAATGTTTTAATTCTTAAAAATGTGATATTGTAATAAACTTTTATTATATCTCATGTAAAATAACTGTGTGTCTGAGAGAGAGAAAACTCATGCCTTACTTCTCATGATTTCTCTTTCTTTTGTATACCTTTCATAGAAAGAATTACAGCCTCAGTATTCGTGTGTATTTTTGAAAGAGTAAAGTGGGGAGTGGGAAGGTATATCTACATGCTATGCCTTTTGACAGCATTCTGTTTCAAATCTCCTCTTCTCATCAGTGACTGGAACACAGCTGAAAAAACAATGAACTGATTTTGTGATGACGAATTTAGGAAATTCAGTTAGCTAAGGGTTAGAAAAACTGATTTTCAGAGGTATACTCTGATCCAGAATGGGACTTTAATATATTGTATTATACTGAAACATAAAGGAGAGGTCTACAAAATAGAATATTTGAGCACTATAATATTCATCTCAGTCAACTGAAGTGTTCAGGATCAGTGATTAAGTTCATTCTGTACTCCTAAAGAACAAACCTTTTTTAAAAAAGGAATTATCAGTAATCTCTGGGTACCTGACTATACCACAGTTAGCAAGTGATTCCAAAGATTTTTAATAGAATTCAGGCCTGATTTTACAAGTTAATTGAGTTCTAGGAAAAACATTTCACTGGCATCTTTATGAATGATTACTTCTTATAAAGTCTTGCTCTGTTGCCGAGGCTGGAGTAGGAGTACAGTGGTGCAATTTCGGCTCACTGCAACCTCCACCTCCCGGTTCAAGCGATTCTTCTGCCTCAGCCTCCCGAGTAGCTGGGATTACAGGCATGCACCACCATGGCCAGCTAATTTTTTTGTTGTATTTTTAGTAGAGATGAGGTTTCACCATGTTGGCCAGGCTGATCTTGAATTCCTGTCCTGAGGTGATCTGCCTGTTTTGGCCTCTCAAAGTGCTGGGAGCCACAGTGGCCAGCCTAAATGGTTTACTTCTTAAAATTCCTGCAATTAATATCACTTGGGTTTTTTAGAAGTCTTATTTAAGAAATTTCAAAGATATTAACTTGTAAGAAAAATTATCTTGCCAAGAATTTAAAAAGTCAGGTAATAGCAGCACTCACCCACCTTCACTAACCAGCTCACTATTGTCTGACTGCTTACAAGAGATGATCTTCTCCACTAGTTGATTGTAGCTGCAGTTACCAACAGCTTTTACAATGTCATCAATCTAGAAAACAAATGACTGTCTCACTAATCACGGTAAGATTAGAAACAAAACAAAAGAAAGCCACATCACTCTTTAGAATTTTATTCTAATATAATACTAAATATAAAGCTATTTATTTTTCATAAATAATAATTTTTGAAAATCAAAATCGGCACTAAAATCAACACCCAACAGTTTCCAGGTTTACAGCTCATTATGAAAAATACTCCATAGCTGTATTTCAATTATGCAAAAAAAAGATTAAATGGTATTATTACACGCAACTTTATTTCTTAAAGTCATAAACACATATTTAAGTGACCAAAATAAAACAAAAACTATTCCCGGAGGAAAAATGAAAAAATATCTACTTTTTCCCCCCAGCATAAAGGACCAAGAAACAGTTTTTTTTTTTTTTTTTTTTTGAGACGGAGTTTCGCTCTTGTTACCCAGGCTGGAGTGCAATGGCACGATCTTGGCTTACCGCAACCTCCGGCTCCTGGGTTCAGGCAATTCTCCTGCCTCAGCCTCCTGAGTAGCTGGGATTACAGGCACGTGCCACCATGCCCAGCTATTTTTTGTATTTTTAGTAGAGACGGGGTTTCACCATGTTGACCAGGATGGTCTCGATCTCTTGACCTCGTGATCCACCCGCCTCGGCCTCCCAAAGTGCTGGGATTACAGGCGTGAGCCACCGCGCCCGGCAAGCAACAGTTTTTTCAAAACTAAAAAACAAATGTTGCACATTTAAAGCAAAGGAACTTTAAATATGTTAATTTATAGGATTAATAAAATTATTCCATCTTATTTATTATTTATTTCCTAGAAAAGTATAGTGGAGATATGAGTAGAGATAACTATGTTATTTTCCTGAAGAAAAGTTAATATGTGTTAACCAGGGACAGTATCTGCTGCATGATTCTTATTTAATCTTTGCTTTTAGAGTTACAGCAAAAGAGTAAATTTAAACTTTTAAGCTACAGGAAAAGAAACTTGGGCTTCTCTACTGTCTCTCCATTATGCTTTGCTTTGACTAGAGAAGAAAAAGAGGTTCCTACTGTCTAAACAATTTATATAGTTGCACTGGCATACATAGTATATTTATATTTATTTATAAATTATTCACATGTATTGCTGTATTAATACATTATATACCCAATAAAACAAATACAAATTTTAGAATAACATAAATAGAAATAAGAGGGCGAATGTTTTCTTCCCACATTCAAATGAACATCTTGAAGACTTACTCTTTGAATACCACAGGTTTCAACATATATCTGCACAAGTAATACTCACAGCAGTGTTTTTCAAACTTGAGGAGTTTGTTAAAAAGATGTAAAATAATTTCAGGCTCAAGTTGCTTCTCAATTCTCTAAGTTTTCATTCCACTACCCAGGGGATTCTGATACATGGCAATGTTTGGGAACCATCCTTTGAGGCTGTAATTTATCTTTCTTGTTTATGAAAAATTCTACCATACTAAAAGCCTCCTAACTCATACAACTGGGACTGACAGTTGGTTGAGACAATCAGTTAATTCAAAAAGTCAAAGCAGGAAATTGTGGAAAACGTTTACAGGCATACATATCCTAAACATTTTTTGTTTTTGTTTTTTTTTGAGACGGAGTCTAGCTCTGTTGTCCAGGCTGGAGTGCAATGGCGCAATCTCAGCTCACTGCAACGTCCACCTCCTGAGTTCAAGTGATTCTCCTGCCTCAGCCTCTTGAGTAGCTGGGATTACAGGTACCTGCGACTTCACCTGGCTAATTTTTCATATTTTTAGTAGAGATGGGGTTTCCTCATCTTGGCCAGGCTGGTTTTGAACTCCTGACCTCATGATCCACCTGCCTCAGCCTCCCAAAGTCACGCCCAGCCAAACGTTATTATTTCTTTTTTTTTGAGATGGAGTCTCACTCCGTTGCTCAGGCCAAAGTGCAGCGGTGTGATTTCAGCTCACTGCACCTCCACCTCCTGGGTTCAAGCGATTCTCTTGCCTCAACCTCCTGAGTAGCAGGGACTACAGACACCCACCACCACACCTGGCTAAGTTTTGTACTTTTAGTAGAGTCACGGTTTCACCATTTTGGCCAGGATGGTCTTGAACTCCTGAACTTAAGTAATATGCCCGCCTGGGTCTCCTAAAGTGCTGGGATTACAGGTGTGAGCTGCCATAGCTGGCCCATATCTGAAACATTTCATATATACATATTTTTTGGTTTGCTGCCCTTTATAAAACCAAAACATTTTATATTAACTTAAAACACAAAAATGTATTCAATTGTCAATCTTTTGATGCAGAGCCAAATGAGTTCTTTTCTGTGTGAGAGGATCCTTGGGGTAAGATTCTACGTAAATCACAAGAAAAAATTCACAAGTTCCAGCTTTGATTTATTTAAAATGAGAAGTTAAATCCTTAAGAAACAATTTGAGGGCACAGTCTCTTCAGATGTTATTTTCCTCAACACCTTTACTTTATAGTGCTTTCGTTAGTGACTCAACTTCAGTAAGTCTTTTCAAAGAATCTGAATTTTCAATTTCAAGAAATCCACAGAAATACAACTACAATAAATTGGGTATGGTGGCTCACACCAGTAATGCAAGCAATTCAGGAGGCTGAGACAGGAGGATCTCTTGAGGCCAGGAGTTCAACACCAGTCTGGGCAACACAGCAAAACTCCTGTCTCTAAAAATAAAAAAAAAATTTTTTTAGGATTTTTCTCTCACTCCATCTCCCACACTCTGTCACCCACGCTGGAGTGCAGTGGTGTGATCACAGCCCACTGCAGCCTTGACTTCCCAGGCTCAAGCAATCCTCCCACCTCAGTCTCCTGCGTAGCTGAGACTACAGGCACACGTCACCACACCTGTCTAACTGCTAAATTTTTTGTAGAGACAGGTCTCCTGTTGCCCAGGCTGGTTTCAAATTCCTGGGCTCAGTGATTCTCCCACCGTGGTCTTCCAAAATATTAAGATTATAGGTGTGAGCCATGCAAAACCTCTGAAAATATATATACATATTTTAAATTAGCTGGATATGGTGGTGCATGTCCATAATCCCAGCTGTTCAAGAGACTGAGGCAAGAGGACCGCTTGAGTCCAGGAGTTCAAGGCTACAATGAGCTATGGTCATGCCACTATACTCCAGCCTGGGCAATGGGGCAAGGCACTGTCTCTGAAACAAAACAAAACCCCCCAAAACCCAACTATAGTAATAAACACAAGACCAATAGGCTGGGTGCAGTGGCTCATGCCTGTAATCCCAGAACTTTGGGAGGCTGAGATGGGTGGATCACCTGAGGTGAGGAGTTTGATACCAGCCTGGTCAACATGACGAAACCCCATCTCTACCAAAAATACAAAAAATTAGCCAGGTGTGGTGGACACCTGTAATCCTAGCTACTTGGGAGGCTGAGGCAGGAGAATCGCTTGAAACCAGGAGGCAGGGGTTGTGGAGAGCTGAGATCATGCCACTGCATTCTAGCCTGTATAACAAGAATAAATCACTGTCTCTACCGACGACCTTCTTCACAGAACTGGAAAAAACCACCTTAAACTTCATATGGAACCAAAAGAGGGCCCACATAGCCAAGTCAATTCTAAGCAAAAAGAACAAAGTTGGAGGCATCACACTATTGGACTTCAAACTATACTACAGTGCTACAGTAATCAAAACAGCATGGTACTGGTACCAAAACAGAGATATAGACCAATGAAACAGAACAGAGGCCTTGGAGGCAACACCACACATCTGCAACCATCTGATCTTTGACAAACCTGACAAAAACAAACAATGGGGAAAGGATTCCGTGTTTAATAAATGGTGTGGGGAAAACTGGTTAGCCATGTGCAGAAAGCAGAAACTGGACCCCTTCCTGACACCTTACACTAAAATTAACTTCAGATGGATTAAAGACTTAAACATCAGACCTAACACCATAAAAACCCTAGAAGAAAATCTAGGCAAAACCATTCAGGACATAGGCATAGGCAAGGACTTCATGACCAAAATGCCAAAAGCATTGGCAACAAAAGCTGAAATAGACAAATGGGACCTAATCAAACTCCACAGCTTCTGCACAGCAAAAGAAACAGTCAGTAGAGTGAATCGGCAACCAACAGAAAGGGAAAAAATTTTTGCAATCCACCCATCTGACAAAGGGCTGATATCCAGAATCTGCAAAGAAATGAAACAGATTAACAAGAAAAAAACAAACAAGCCCATTCAAAAGTGGGCAAAGGATATGAACAGACACTTTACAAAAGAAGACATACATGAGGCCAACAAACATATGAAAAAATGCTCATCATCACTGGTCATTAGAGAAATGCAAATCAAAACCACATTGAGATACCATCTCACACCAGTTAGAATGGTGATCATTAAAAAATCTGGAGACAACAGATGCCAGAGAGGATGTGGAGAAATAGGAACACTTTTACACTGTTGGCGGGAGTGTAAATTAGTTCAACCATTGTGGAAGACAGTGTGGCAATTCCTCAAGGACCTAGAAATAGAAATTCCACTTGACCCAGCAATCCAATTACTGGGTATATATCCAAAGGATTATAAATCGTTTTACTATTAAGGACACATGCACACAAATGTTCACTGCAGCACTGTTTACAATAGCAAAGACCTGGAACCAACCCAAATGCCCATCGATGACAGACTGGACAGGGAAAATGTGGCACATATACACCATGGAATACTATGCAGCCATAAAAAACGATGAGTTCGTGTCCTTTGTAGGGACATGGATGAAACTGCAAACCATCATTCTCAGCAACCTGACACAAGAACAGAAAATCAAACACCGCATGTTCTCACTCATAGGTGGGTGTTGAACAATGAGAACACATGGATACAGGGAGGGGAGCATCACACACTGGGGTCTGTTGGGGGGAATAGGGGAGGGACAGCGGAAGGTAGGGAATTGGGGAGAGATAGCATGGGGAGAAATGCCAGATATAGGTGATGGGGAGGAAGGCTGCAAATCACACTGCTATGTGTGTACCTA